TGCTCTGCCATGTAGCAATTGCTGCTTGCTTTGAAAGAACCTGATCGCCACAGCGTTTCACATTGCACTGTTGTACATTATAGTCGGGTGTGTACAAGTACACCACACACCCAACTGGGATGATGGGTGTGGTCAGAGAGTGTTTAACGTCTAGATTTCATCAGGAGGACAAGCCATGGTACTTCAGTTTGTTACGGGTTGGCTTGAACATGTTTGCTGGTGTACAATATTTTCACCTGCCACCTGCCAAACGTAATACATACAAAACATGACGTGAAACAAATTGTTAAGAAGAGTACAATCGAAATAGGGCGGTGACATTTATCTAACTGTCTGAGTGACGGCTAGTTTAATGAAATAACAATTAGTAACGCGGTTTTCTTTCAAGAGTTGCCAAACTTAAGGTCTGACGAATGGATCTGTGACCACTAGTGTTGGGCCATAATGCATACATTTGATCTGATGTTAGTAATACAGGACCAGAATCACAGATATTGATACACTTTATATAACTATAAGCGGCTTAGGCATTTGTACTTCCTTGTCGCTTTCCACTGTTGATTACTTAAAGCTGCTACAAGAAACATTCATTTTGGAGGTTCCCATGGACAAAAGTATTTCAGAGCCCCAAACATGCGTTTCTGGTTCTCCTGTGCCTGCCTGCCCTGCTTAGAGGCCCAGTAATACGGCTCCACCAGCGTGGTGTCGGTGTCGGCTCCCAGCAAGGATCTGAGTCTGTCCACGGCGGACCGGTCTCTGCTGGAGGATCTGGGTCTGTTCATGGTGAACTGGTCTCTGCTGGACCTGCAAGATTTCATCTCATTTCACCAGAATCCGACCCGGTGGCTCCGATGACGAGCATTAAGAATAACTCTATAGAAATAGACCATCTTCTCTCTGATGGTCTCTTTACTGATGGACGTCTGATAGAGGATCAGGACTACACTGACCAGTTACAAGTTCCTTACTGTCACTTTAATCGCATGTATTTTAAAACACAGGACAGTTTTTGAAGGCAAATAACAAAAATGTATTTTTATTATTGTAAATCGAATGTGCAAACATGAAAATTAAACAAAGTACAAACATTTATTTGTTGAGAACAAAAATTGTTTTAAAACTTTTTGTGCAAATAACGGCACAAACTACCTTCAACCATCATTGGCAGCTGTGAAACAGCTCCAAACATGCCCGTTTCATTCAGCCTCATGAGTAACTGGGATGTGTTCTGTGGTGTGTTGTTTGAACGCACACAAAAACGACACCAGCCGTGAGAAGCAAAGAGAGCACAGACACTTCTACTCCTTGATGAAATACTAATGCCTGTTGAGGACAGAAACGTATCCCTTTTGATGCTAGAATCGATCTGCAAAAAGAGACGTAGGTGTCCACAGTATTGATATTTTCGCCCAGCTCTAGTGACCACAGCATACTGACTAACCTTCAGGTGTGTCACCAGTTTGAACCCAGAAAGAAAGATATTTGCATGCACGTTTGGGCATTCATAAATCTTACAAATCTAAAATTGTTAGTCCAAAACAAGGGAATGGTTCCTAACAGGGGTGCAGTGGATACACAGTATAGATACTTTGGCTTAAGGATGCCTGCTTCTCAGGTGCCCGTAATGACTCTATCCAACTCCTAGTCATTTAGTTAGAAATATTGAGGTACATCTTCCTACCTGTGCTGGGCCAACCTAAATCCTTTTGAGACTGCAGGAACTCAATTAAATGCAACGTTCCATTTATCCATTCTCACAGGTTCCACTTGTGTTTCCGCCCTTCTCTGTCCATTTTGGGGGCAACTTTCGGGAGCCAAATTTGGGCTCCGCTCAGGAGGTGATACTTAACTCAAGTTCAGCTATTTTCAGGGGTTGGCTGTCGTGCTGTTGACTGTGACTAATCAAGCAGTCACAGTGCCTGTAGTGGAGCAAACCAAAAAGCTAGTGATTTCACATACAACACACCTACAGACCATTTGTACCACTGCTGTCTTAATAACATTCATCTGAAATATTCTGGTTTGTAAGTAAAAATATGAGCAAGAACCTAGAACTAAAAGCTCCTGCAGTGAAAAGTGGCTTCAACAAGTTTGCAGCTTTAGGTGATTTGGAGATGACCATGGAGTAGATTTAGTAAGCTGTTGTCTGTATCCAACATTTCAACAAATTAACTGACTGAGAGTGCCTGGCTAACAGGGCTAACAACAGTCTTATGCTGCGTTCACACCAAACGTGGCGCGAATTATTCGTGCGAGTAGATTACATACAAAGTCTACGCACAAACGCGATGAGACTGGCGCGGCACGAATTTGCCATCGCGAATTCGCGTCCATCGCCCCGAGTTGAAATTTTTCAACTTTGGCGAAATATTCGCATTACGCCCCGGCGCGATAGCCTATCAGCGTTGAGATGTTTCTCCTGTCATCACTGATGTCCTGTCGTTGTTGAATCAGGAAATAAATACTGTAGCCGTCTGTGTTCACCCAGAGCTCTACGATACCTCATATCAATAGAGACCGGACCAAACTATGTGTATAAATGTGTGTGTGTAAACCATATGGTACAAACAATGAATAGACGCTGCCATATTTACGTCTACATGACGTTATTGAGTGTTGGTGGAGCTGCTACAATGTTAGGCCTAGCCTAGCACCGATCCATCAGAGCTCCATTGAGAAGACAAGTAGCCTACAAATCGGCATCATTACGTAGTTGTTTTGGAGTCCCTTTTTGTCGGTTTATTGCCGTTAAATCACAGCCAAATCAGTTTATTTTGTGTTCATACAGCTGTAGTAAACAGCGATGTGTGGCTTACTAGACACAGTGAATACAGCTCGATAAAATCCATGGAGCTCCTCTGGACAATATTATGAACCCAGACATGACGGCGTTTAGTTTCCCGGGATATCTGTGACTTCCACAACACGTACTAAGCAGAAATAGAGGTAATTTTTTTCATGGTTAATGGCGGACAGTTGAACGGCTTTCAGGGCGATAAGCCGCGCCCCCTCTCCGCCGCGTCCAGCGTGATTTGCGTGAATATACACAAATGGTCCCTGGCGAGACCGGCGCCGCGATTGACGCGAATATGCGGCGCGATGAATTTGGTGTGAACACGGCATTAGCCCAACGCCCCATGTACTGTGACAGGCCCAACACCGTACCATACAGCACATGGCTCTATGACAGCGGTGAAAGGCGACGTTCACTTTAATTCAAGTTGCTCTGGCAATCAGTTCTATTGAAAGTAGTTGCTAAGATCTGGTAATACAGCAACATCACTAAAATGAAGTCCAATGGGGCAACAAACACGAGCAATCAGATGATGAGTTAAGACATCCTCATCATCTGACTGTTCATGTTTCTGCCCCCATTGAACCAACAGTAGTTTTAGTGATGTTGCCACGTTCCTAGATATGTTATCTGAAACAGAGGAAACAATGTCCTCAGCTAAAAAGGCCAATGTCCATTTACTGTGGAAGAATTTCATTTATTTGTCTTTTTGTCTTTGATATCTTGTTTTTCATCGTGAAAATGATTACATTTAAATTTGATTTTTGACAAACTTAATGCTTCCACAGATTAGGATAGTCTTCTATGTGAGCAGAATAAATGTATACCAAAACAGTTGAAAATAAGAAAATGTAAAGGTGATCAGATTCAGGAACAGTAGAGTTCTGGTGCATTGCCTCTAAACAATTGATAAGTCATTGTGGTGCTTTCTTAACGCTACAGGCTGAGGCTGCTGTTGACAGTATTTCAGCTGTGTTTGTGTACTGTACAAACACAGCTGCCCTGGTGCAAAGAGCATCTTTTGCCCCAACTGCCCATGACGACATGCTGACCATGTAGACCGTATTATGATGTGATGGTTAGGTAGAAAAAAAAAGCATATTTAATTCAACCTGACAGCAGCAGCAAGTTTCTTTATCTTTTATTAGAGCTAGCCCCCCCACCCCTCTACTGACAGTGACATACAGTCATCAACACATCTCTATGTTCAACCCACCCTAGTACAAAAGTAATTTTCCATTACTGTTGTAAATGTACTCTGCAGTGTACTCCATGGTATCCACATAGGTGTGCACAAGCTGATTAGAGGGCTATGGTCCATTTCCACTGGAGATGTGTGAGTCCGACTGGGTATGACTGGAAAATCACGGGATTCGTAGTCTGAACCCAAAGATGCCAAAGGGATTTGTAGTCCATTTTGAACAGAATTCCCACTCGGTGAAAGTGAGGCTGGGACATGGTGGGATTTGTAGTCCAGTTCCTCACCTCCAAATGGCCGGTGCAATCTAAATTGACTTGTAAAACCTGGATGTCTTTTTTTTTGTCAGTATGTAAAGGTGAAGAATATTTCAATGAGTACACAATACTACCATGCAAAAAACACACATGGACACCCTGGGACATGTGTACTGTTCAAATACACAGAGGAGACATCTAAAGGACAGCAGCTGAAGTTCTGGTTACACGGGTAGCATTTGATAGCAATGGTGGTCAGGAATGACGAATTCAAAACTAAAATGACATCAATGACATCATACTTTAACATTAATGTCGTAACATTTTAGCAAATTCAAATGCTCTCTAACTAATAAATCCTTTACAGATGAAATGATGAAACATTTGATGAGGGTTATCAGCTGACTTTGGTTAAGCCCTTCCTGCTTGCCGTACGTCCCAAACTGTTAATGTAATGCATTCTTATATTTTCATTGCTTCAAAACGTTACCTGTGTAACAATGCCTCAAAACTTCAGACACCGCACCCCCACAGAAAAACATTATAACAAAGTTACATATTTCATTTACAGCAACAATAAATCTCTTTTTAATAAGCAACCTCTTTTGATAGTTCATGATTGCCAAATGGGATTTTTTCCCCATCCTTTGGAAAGGGCTGGTTCCCTTTGTGATTAAAAACTCCAATCTTTCTTCCTCCATCCATTCCCCCAGTCTCTTTCCTGTGATTTGCTCATTCTCTCGTTTTTTTCAGCATTTCTGTCTCATTATCCTGCAACAAAAAACAGCAAATATTCTTAAGCATGATCTTCAACTTCAACTGGATTCAAAATGGGTGAAAGGCAACTAGTTTTACAGTGAGAACAATTCACCTTTCATAAACAACATAGTCCATGCGTCGTGTGGAGCCACAGGTATTTAACCTCTGCAGGGTGGTTCACACAGAGTGGTTGATGTCACACATGGGTCATGTCAGGCCACATGTTGTTTTGTGTTATGTCAGTTAAATGCTTGTGACTTCCCAGCAGTCAGTCTGTCAGAGCGGAAGAGGCTTTTCTGAAGAGAGGCTTGACATCAATATATAGTCTGAACATAGTGACACACAAGGAAATCAACTACACTGCTGCCCATTTACAGAAGCTGCTTCTATGATAGCAAACAATTACTACATTGTTTTGACCAACACCCTTTTAAACAGGATTATTACTCTGATCTTGCTCAGCCAAATGTCAGGAAAAACAACATAAGGATATTATATAATACCCAACAAAATAGCTGGTGTCCACATAATCCACTGCCAATTGTAAAAACTAGACATCTCAACAAAACCTTCCCTCCATGTATTGTTGCTACAGCCCTTCTTTTCCTTTCAGTGTTGCCTATCATAGCAGCAGCTGGCTGGGTTTCACTGGTAGATCTGTGAAGGTGCCACTCTATTACATAGGCATATTACTTACTTTGACTAGTTATTATGTAAGCATGTTGCTGTTAGGTACATTTGAACTTTTCTTATTCTAATGAACACTGGCATGTGTTTTCACCCTCTAAGACTCAGCACCTTCGTGTGGTGGAGGGGTTTGCGTGTCCCTGTGACCCTGGGAGCTGTAATAGAGGGGGGAACAGCTCCTGGTAAAGGCTCCCAAGCCAAAGTGGTCCCAGGGAATGGCCAGACCAAGAGCTCTTCACAGAGCCTTTATGTCTGAATGAAAAAAAGGTCCTGCAGCGCCAAGCCCAGAAAAGGAATATGGGGTGTCGAGGGCAACTGTGAGGTCAGCGGATCATTCTTGGATGTCTGTAGATTGTGCTTGTTCATATGATGCACACATAAAAGAACATTATAGATCCAGAAACATACAGAACTTTGAATGAACAGTATCAGCACACAATGTCTCGTGGCTGTAACTTACTGAGAAACCACACCACTGATAAAGGAAATATCAAAATGACACGGTAACATGGGGGGTTCTTATATTCTTATTCTTACCTCTCTTACATGAGCCTGCACTGACAAAAAGCTAATTATAATGTCACTGTTATCACTTGATTTATTATATTATCGTATTTGTACAATATAAATATACATCATTAATATTATCGTTATCATATATATTATTTTTATTATTATCACCGGTATTATAAATATTATTTATAATATTTTAGTAGTAGTAGTAGCAGTAGTAATAGTATTTTTAGTAGTAGTATTTTTATTATTATTATTGTATTATTATATGATTTTTCAGGGGATTCTTAAGAATAAAGTGTGTTTGGCAGGAATCTTGTCAAAAGTGCAACATTTGACATACGTTCGTCACAAAAAATAAGTGAAAACTTCTAAAAGTAAAAATTCCAACACAGTGCTGTAAGTGTGT